GTCTTTGCCAGAGATCTGTCTGTCAGAAAGATCCAACTGTTGAAGCTGAAATCCGTATGTGGCAGCATCGTTTCCTGGACATCGGAAATTTTTAGCGAGTCTCAGATTGTCTATGGCCAGCTATACACATCATCGTTGGAGCCACACGCAAGTGTCATTAACGATCCAAGAGCATGTCTTATCCAACACTTTTCCCATATTATCCCGGACGTCAGTCTAAACGAGATTAAAATGGGGTTCCCCGGACGAGGATGAAACTACAGCGGATCTTTTGAAAGCTGGTAGAATACCGGTACTTGAAGTCCTTCAGAATCTCTTTAATTCCATTCTCCATGGTGGCACTACTCCGGAGGCATGGAGCAGAAGTACGGTAGTCTTGTTCTTCAAGAAAGGTAACAATGCTCACTTGAAGAATTACAGACAGATTCCCCTTCTGAGTCGCGTCTACGTGCCGTTTTTGAGAGTCATTTATTATATCAGCGTTTACTATTTAAATTAAATAATATATACTATATGTAAATAAAATGGAAAAGCTTCCTGTAACATCGAAATAACGGCATTTTATTGAGTTAAGAGAGTTATTTGTACGCCATTAAGACATGAATAAACATTAAAACAAATCTCTGTCTGTCTGTTCAGCCTGCGAATCTTCGAAATGACTGAAATAATTGTAATTTAATTGTAATTTTACTTAAGGTAGAGAGCAATATCAGGAGTGATCTAGGCAAAATTTTAACTTAAAGAACAGGCAGAGAGAAATATCAGGAGTGATCTAGGCGATATTTTAACTTAAAGGACAGGTAGAGAGCAATATTAGGATATTTTTCTGTTAAACCTGGAGATTTTTTTAAAAAAACGTTTCATTAAATAATAGGTCTTTGAAGCATATTTATTTAATGAAACGTTTTATTCAATTAAACGTCAGATTAATAGATACTACACAGACGCAGCCGGGGCAGGACGCTAGTAATGAAATTAAATAAAACAAAACAGTTTTATTAACTGTTTATTACAAAACGTAAAAATATTTCTCTATTTACATTTTATAAACATAAAAACTTAAATATAATTAATGTAAATTAAGTTAAAGAACTCAAAAACAAACTTATTATAAACAGCAGAATCGTTAACACGTCTAATGAATTTTCGTACTTTCTATTCCTAGTGTCAAGATTTTAGAATACCTGGAATAAGAATTTATCAGAATAAAATAAAACTTCATTAAAAGGTTTGACATTTTGACAACATTTAAAATATATATAATTAAATACCTCTGTATAAGTATACATAAGGGTAACAAAAGAGTAGTCATTCATCTATCCTTAATTAGTAATCAAAATCTAGATGCGTTTTCACTAATTACAAAGTTGGAATGCCTCGTCACCAGTAAAACTATTATGTATATGTAAGATACGTTATTTTTTTATTACAAAAAACTTTATTTATCTGTCATAACTATTTTATGGCCTTAATTAATGGTTTCTAACCTTGATCTAAGTCACATTTTTTATAGTAGAGGAGGCAACGAGCATGCGGCTCACCTGATGGTAATCAGGGGAATTACACATACTTTCCCGACCTTTTAGAAAGGGCGCATTCAAGAAAGGAATATTTTCTATTCTTAGAGGTACCAGAGTCGTATCTGTCAGTAAAAACGCAGGTACGATTTTAAAAAGAGGTCGTATGAGGAAAAAACCCCTAGTAAAATAATGCCTAAAAACTTTCTCTTACAGCTGTCATTGTTCTTGATTGTATTCAGTCGAGACGTCAACTCCTCGAGATATGTTCAGTTTTGTCTTTCTGTTTTCACTTGTCGTCGTTGTGTCCGCGTTCGTTTCGTCGACACGGCTGTAGTCCCTTTCTTTTCAATCGATATTAATCTGCAAAGATCTGAAGTTACCAGTACTTACAAGTTAATATAAAGCTATAAGATTATTAAAGCGGAGCCATAAGGTACACTGCCAAATTCCGTAAGGATTCTCTTGAATATTTTATAACGCTTGTAATAGCTTCGACAGACGGGTCTTCCACTTCCCTTTAATATGGTCAAGGAGGGCGATAGCTGCTATTTTTTCAACGTTAGGTTTTTTCTTGTATAGTGGCTTAGTGGACAGTTTACATGAATAAAATTCACAAGGACAAACATCGAGACCGAAACAATGATTTGTAAGCCATATAAATACTTGTTCCGTGCGGGATCCTAACCCGCGACCCTCAGCGCTGCAGCTCATGGCTCAAAGCTACGCTACGGAGCCGTCAATGCGTGTACTTAAGAACGGGCGGTGAGTAGGACTGAACTGCTAGGGTTCGCTATGCACTGAAAAGCCTTGTTTTACTTTTTTATAACTACATCATAAAGCATGCTTCAATTACTATGGTTAATTTTCCATTTTGTATATAATATTTGTGATATAATTCTTAATAACAATAACAAAAAATACCTGCGGAATTTCTTTCACCCTTCATTCCCCTATCAGAGGAAACGGCAATAGATATTAGGCAAAAAAATAAAATTTACAAAAAGAAATATTTTAATTTTATCACTTGTTTTACAATATTTATTTTAAATTATTTGTATACCAATTATAAAGGCTTCGCCTCACATCTTCGCATCATCAGAGTATATAAGAATATCATTCTAAATTTAAGCTAGAGATTCACCAAGTAATAACAATCACAGGTATATATTACATATATTTCATTTCATTTCATTTCATTTCATTTAGAAAACAGATCGTTATTAGCGTAACAACATTATATGACGTATGAAATATAATTAGGTACAAAGTAATCTAATATTATACGTTCATTTTGACATGCAACAATATATGCATTTTATTGAACATTTGAAAATTTGATACTTATATTATTTACAATTTCATTTCAGGAATGAAGCATTATATAGTTTACAATAAAACAAAAAGAATCGACATCTGCGTAGTGGTGGTGAAGAACCGACAACCGATAGGGAAAAAAGGTTCTCGAGTGGGACTCGTACCGGTAGGCGTAGTGTAGGGCGAACCCCCCCTAGATGGGGAGACGACCTGTTAAGATATACAGGAAGTCGATGGATGCAGATGGCTCAGGACCGTGCTTTGTGGCATTCCTTCGGGGTGGCCTAAGTTCAGCAGTGTCTTTATGAAGGGCTGTAATGATGATGAATGATTTGCTTAGAATAAGAATGTTTAGAAGAACATATTATAATAATTCTGTAGAATAAGGGTGACTAACGAGCACACAGTCCACCTGATGGTGAGTGGTTGCTGTGGCCCATAGACATCTACATCTATCCTCGATTACGAATCAAAATGTAGATGCGTTATCACCAGTGAGGACTAAGACGTGTAATTACATTGTGCAATATAGTATATGATTGTACTCTTAAAGTGTTCTTTATCAAAAAATGTCCTGCTGGGTTTCTCGCTGGTTCTTCCCAAGAAAAGCAATGGTTATAAAATTTGATGGAGTTTCTATTCCTATTACTTCATGCCATGGATGTGTTAGATACGACAGAGTTCAACTGAAGCAAGAGGTGGGAAGCAGCGTCTTCCCGATAACAAGTTAAAATAATAAAAAAATCAACTGTGGATATTCCCCCCCCCCAATGAGGTAATTTATGGGGATGGCTCATGTTCAGCAATAAGTTTTGATAGGCAAAAAAAATGATTATGACGATGAATCGATATTTATATTTCAAATTAAATAATCGAAATGGTGATACCAAAGAAGCAACGTCCAGCATACACTGATTATAAGATACTAGTTTCAGTAATAGAGTTCATGAGAATTTCTTCGGAGAAATGGAAATTCACAAAGATTATATCACAAAGGAGGTCATCGGCAGCAAAATACTGACTGGAAGAAAGAAAACGAAAATGTGGCATATTCACTAAATAAGAAAGAAGAGTCCATGAGTATAATGAAGTTTGTACTCTTACAAAAACATCTTCTAATCTATTATTAGAGTAACTTATATGCATAAGTAAATATACTGACTAATATATTGGTAACTTAAGTTCACATACTTCAAAACCTTCGATATTATTACTATATTGTATACGTAAAATCAAAATTACTTTTTAGGATTTGTGATCGACGGAGTATATTTGGACGTGTTCTATAACTGTTTTTCTTAAATTTATTAAAAATGAAAAGATGTTAAAAAAGATATTTAATTGTTAATGTATTTCTGCAAAGTAATGCCTGATTGTACTAATTATTTTGTTATATATATTTTAATAGGGAAAGATTAATTTGAAAAATCTATTGGAGGAAGTCTCTTCTAGTATTTTTTATTATTTCCTTAAATTAATTATTACTGATCATGTATATACGAATTGCTTGGGTATATTATTTCATCAGCATCTTCGTTTATTTAAAAATAATTTAACCGTCCAAATCGTAAGCTCACTCACTTGAGGATAACGTTTTTCTTAAAACATAGATAATATCAGATTTTGATGCTTAAGACAGATGACAACAATTGTGGTGTAAGCTCATTCTCCTTTTTCATAATTATTTAGAGTTGAAATCTAATTTTTCCTTCTAAGAGGTTGTCTGTTGTTTATTATGTAAGTACCTAATAAAAGGTTAAAATATTTTTCGAACAACGAAGACAAATACGTATATCGAAGAATATGAAACATGCATTTATTGTAAATCTATCTAGCATTTATGAAAATATAATATAAAATGTCGCTAATCTTTTAAAACGAGGTTACTTTCATTCGAAATGAAATTTATAGCAAATATATGTACAACGCCTGTAGGATTTTAATGAGCAATAATAATCTAGAAGTAAATTTTGCTCTTACTAATAATCCTAACTTGTTTATATTAAAATCTAAGCAACAGCTATAGAAAATCTACAAAATTGTCATTGTACTATATCCTCCACTACATACGTATCTACATAATCTAAGTACGATATGTGAGCACTGGAAGTGGATGCTGTATATGCATGCACGAACTGTTGTGTAATCTATGCGATAATTTTAAATCTACTTTTTCCCCGCAATGTAATTGCCTGCCTCGTCTTTATATAGATCTTCATTAATTCCATAGTACGATTGTGAAGTCGGACAATCCACCTGAAAAAAAATACCAACTGGAATGAAGTTATTTTAAAGAAATTGATAATATTTTATATACCTAATTATTTTAACAAGAAACAAAGATTTTAATGTTTTTGGGCATGTTTAGTCATGGAACTGTATATTAGTAACTAATCACAGTTTTATAATATTATAGATTTAGTTAAGTATGAGATTCAAATTGAAAAAAAAAACTTGCGTAACAAGCGAGAGAAAATCTCCAAAAAAATAATATAAAATGTTAACCTTTATCATATTTCATAGTGTGTATTTCTGATACATTTTTTTAAATATTTTTGCAAGCGGGAATTCCGTAGATTTTATCCACTTACATTATAGAACCAATCACAGACCCTAGTCTTCTGGTTGAAGACGGTACCAGCAGTGCACAAGAACGAATACATCAAGTTGCGTCCGTTGCTTGGGACACACCAGTGCCATACCTGTAAAATATCGTTAATGGGAATGAATATTAAGAACCGTGAAGTGGCGGTGTGTAAATATCTACTGCCCCATATCATCCCGTGGGTGTCGTAAGAGGCGACATAGGAAGAAAAATCAGGAGAGGGGGAAGCAGCGTCTTTATAATCTTCTTATATACAAAAATCAATTGCTGTCAGTTAGTTTTGCAAAAACTCAGAAATAGCTCGACTGATTTTGATGAACATTTTTTGTATATTTCAGTGGGTCTATCCCTAGTTGGTTTAAAACCTCAATTGGAGATGGTAGGTGGCGCTGTTGTCGAGATCCAGTAATCACCCCTGAACATCCGGGGCGTATCGCTAGTAACAAAAAAAAAACTGCGGTTGTCACTCGCTGGCCCAGCTTGTCAACTATGGCAAATATCCCACCTAAGAGGCATTCTATAGGGGAGGCTTATGTTCAGCAGGGGACTTCAAATACTGTAAGGGTGAGAAAATAATGTTCTAAATGTCTTCTTTTTTATAGGATAGGGTGACAAACGAGCACACAGTCCACCCGATATGGATGCGCTACATTTATTCTCTATTAGAAATTAAACTGCAGATGCGTTGTCACCCGTGAAGACAAAGATGGAATGCCTCGTTTCCAGTAAAAAGGATCTCCAGTTCTCTACACTCGCCTTACGACACACAGCAGCATTACTCGTAAGCTACTATTTTATGCTGGTATTCTGAACTCTAAGAGCGTGGTCCATCCCTGGTCGAGCCGATCCATTCGTGCTACAACTATACTACTAATATGACTGTAGCATGGCTCTACCACGTTTAAAATGTCTACAGATTCCTTATCAAGTTTTCTTCTTCCTCGGAGCTCATAATAGTTAATTTAACGTGAGCCTCTCCCGAGGTAGGGTTTGCCTTAACTGTCGCTTTCCGTGGGTATTTTACGTCTGCAGTAAACAAAATGGTAAGATTAACGTTCTCCAGACCGAATTTTGATCACGGCGACCAGTTTCAGTTCAGTTTCAGATTAGTCATCTGCGCATGACATGAGTATAGTGCCTGAGTGTGAGCAAGCACAGCTGCACTTTTTATTCCCTCACTTTCATTGTCCGATGGGACCGCATTGATCGATAAAACATCCTTTACCATCTATCACAAGCAATAGGATTTTTATAGCATTTCTTACCGTCACCTCTTAGGACATCCATGGGATGAAAATAATGATGGATTGATATCTACTCCACTATGTGCGTCCCAAACGGGACGAATAAAAGATATACCACGCGTGTAAAACATATTGTATGTATTACATAAATTTCTCCATAAAGACAGCTCCAGCTGACGTAGTGGCTTAGAATTGAATTGTAGTGGTAAGGGCAGCGGGTTCAAAACCTGCACGGAACAAGTATTTGTATGGTCCAGAAATAGTTATTCTGAGTCTAAATGTTTCCCTTTGTGCAATTTATGTGTGTAAACTGCTTCCATGATACAAGAGAAAATCCTAGTGTTGGGGTAAAGTTTCTTTAAAGAAAAGAAAAAAGAAAACAACACAAACTCTTTGAACTTGCTAGCCTGTTAAGTCAAAAAAAAAGATATATAAAAAGTAATATAACTTACGACTAACTACTAGTAACTTACTTAACTTAATTTTTTTGCGGATTGATTTTAACTGTCCTAGGCGCCTTGTACCTTGAACGCTTCTTCGTACCGCCAGTGTGGGCATTAAACTATTTAAAACTTCAAAATCTTACCTGGCAATTAGTTTCGGGATCGGCGTAGTATCCGGGTATTTTATCATCGCATCTGAATGATAACCCCTTCGGTACTTCTTGTAAATCTGGGTAATCTTCTCCTGGTATGTAACCTTCTAGTGACTGGAATCAACATTTTCTATTAATATTGTTTTTTTATGAACAACAAACATTGGGAGGAAACTTGCATGTCTGAGGAATAAACCATTTCGAATATATGTAGATCCGACGGACTTGTAGCTTGCTTCATAACCCTCTTAGAAATATATACTCGTATAATATATAAAATAGGATAAGCCTGCGTCCAGCAGCGGGATGCACATAGGCTGTAATTTTAATTTCTTAACATTATTTAAAAAAAAATGATAAAAGAAATTATTTAGGTTTTTTTAAAGAATAAGCGTGATGAACGTGCATACAGTTTATCTGATGGTAAGTGGATACTGTGACCTATAGACATCTACATTTACCTCAATTAATCAAAATACATAAGGATAAATACATGCTGTAGTTATATTAGTAGTATAGTTGTAGCACGAATGGGTCGGTTCCACCGGGCAAGGACCACCAATGTCTCTCACTGAATACCAGCCTAAAATAATATCTTAATGCTGCTGTGTTTCGTATGGTGAGTGTCAAGCAATGTCAAAATGGCAAGCAGGTGATATTGCTGAAGGAGGCTGCGGAGAGTGAGATTGAAAGAACGACAAATACCCACAAACTGAGCATATCTTGCCCTACTTCACCCCCCGCAATTAAGGCCTAGGTGGCGGACAGGGAACTTGTCCGTCGTCTCATTGCAAGGCCTCGAGGTGGTGCGTACGGGGTGTTTCCCTTGCGCTGTCATATGGAGGGTGGGTAAAGAGCTCTTGTACCACTCCTGCATCGAGAAGAAACCTGCAAATGCTACCGCTTTCGGGGTTGCAGTAGTGTGCGAAAGTGTTTCCGTAGAAAAGCGATGAACATCGTGGGGTTTTAGTATTCATGAGAATTTCCCCACGTACAAAAAAGTTACGTGTCTCGCTTCTTTGATCATTATGAATAGGACGTAAATAAATAATGTTACAGATATATAGGAATAATCAATAAATATAAAATCGAACGGATTTTTTTCGCGCTTAACATTAATTTATTTTTAATTCCCGAGAATCAAGAAATCTGTAGTTGGCGAACATTTTCAGGACCGTCCTCGAAATTACATCGTTACACGCAAAATACCGTTCTGTTTAATCGTGGTAGAGTTACGCTGTGTTATGATTGCAGCTCGAAAGGGTCAGCTTGACTGGGGAAGACCACGCTGCCACGTACCAGCATTCAGCGACACAAGATCGTAGAAGCGAGTTGACTATATAAGTTAAATAATGACACTTCACTTAGGTCTCTAAGACTAACAGTTTTGTAATTATTAAAGCAAACCGATATAGACCTTTCCTTTACGGTTTATTTTTCAGACCTTTCATGTTTCGCTGTGAATTTAAAGACGTTTCTCGTCAAATATGTATCTTAAATATCTTAATATATACTTACAGCTAGCGATAAATCAATCAGGTTGAGAATGACAGCTATTAACCCTATATAATTTAGCCGCATCCCGCATAGTCTTCTCTGTGTCATGGTTAGAACTGTGGTATTTCTAGATGGCTGCTTTGAAGGGAGACTGTAACAATAAAACATATTGTTTTTATAAAACTGATGTGTCAGACAAAATTACAGCACGAATGATGGTACTTCTACAATCCAGAGACCTGCAGCAAAATCCATACGAAGTTAGCATTAGATGTATTGTCATCCGTTAGAACTAAGATAGAATGCCTCATAGCCTGTTATTATGAGCAAAAGTATTTGCTTATAGAATATAATTGACACACGAGCACATAGTCCACCTGATGTTAAGTGGATACTGAGGCCCATAAACATCTATATATCGATAGCCCCAAGCAAAAAAACTGGTAACGTGCTATTATAGAGTTTATAGTGTTATATCAGATTTGTAGTCTATAGGTTGGAATACACATTGGTAATTTTTTTCAGATTTTTGTCTAGCTTTATATAAGGAGATATAATAAATAACACTTTTACTGTACGGCAATTTACAATCTTGTTAATGACAACAGAAGTACCAAATCAAACAAAAACATTTGTTTGTGTTTGATTTGGTAAAATAGTATTAGGCCAGTATTGTCGTCAACGCATAATAATAAAATGCTTTAGTAAACGTGATTCAATCACTCAATCAATATAGTATAAGCCTCTACTATGTATTCGAGTTATATTTTGTTGTTCAATAATTCATAGATAGAAAAAGAATATAAAGAAAGACAATAACAACCAAAGATATTGTTTAAAAGGTTTTAATATTTTAATGACTCAATAGTGTATCGTTTAAAAATTGTAAGTATATTATTTGATACAACTAGAGTGTGATGATTTTCCGATGGAACACATTTTCATTTTCTACTGATAGCTGCTACATCTAGATAAAATATGTATAAATTATCCTTGAATAGACATTTATTTGCGATTTCTGTTACGCACAGGTTTTTAGTACAACCAAACTGAAGGCGATTTCAAGAAATATGAATAAGAAAATTGTTAGTACTCCCAATGAATCTGATGTTCTCATGTCGTGGGTGCCGCAGGAGGCGATAGAGAGAAATGAAACAAGAGAGAAGCAGCAGCATCTTCCTCATAACAATTCAAAATAATTAAAAAAACTGCGGCTGCCATGCGCTGCAACTATGGCAAATATCCCTATGCTCACGCTTTTGATAGGCTGTGATGAATGATAAATGATGTAAGAGATGTAAAGTTACAGCCTATATACGTCTCATTGCTGGGCACAGGCTTCCTCTCAATGCTTAGAAAGTTTTAGGGCAAGGAAGTGTCCGCCGCGCTGCCCCATTGCGTGTTGGCGAACTTCACATGTCTTCGAAATATTATTTTTCTTATTCCTCAGACATGCAGGTTTCCCCACGATATTTTCCTTCACCGCCGAGTACGTGGTAAATCAGTACTTAAAATTGCAATAAACGATTTCACTGGTACCGGCGGGGATCGAATCCGGGTTGCTCGTGTACTGTGATATTTACAGCGAGCGTTAACCATCTGAGTTACCACGGCTAAGTGTTAGTACTCGTAATAAAATAGTGAATTATGACACAAAAATATTAGTGAATCCTTATAACCGATATTAAGATAATTCGATGGGTTGTCGGCTGATCTTGTGGAGTTCAAAGTTTCACGTTTACAAGAAAATACCCTCTTTTGAGGTATAATTTTGAATTTTCAAGATCAAAATAAAAAGTTCCACTGTCGATAAATATAAGACTAATAAGACTAAATAAGGACAGATACATTTGGAGAACGTTGAATAGTCACTAGCACTTCACTTATTCGAATGGTTACCACCAGTCCATTCGAATAAGTGAAGCTTTGCATACAGATCTTGCGAGGTATTGTAAATGTGAAGCAAGCCTACGCTGTTGATATCCTTTTAAATCGCTGTTTTTGTGATAGTGAAAAGATTCAAAACAAGTAATAATAATGCGGTTGAAAATACTTTACCATTTTATTATGTGTATCTATGTATATGTGTCTGTCTGTAGCATCGTAGCTTTCAAACAGTTGAAACTCTTTCACTGTTTGAAAGCTACGATAAAAGAAAATCTTTTCAGCTCTTTTTGTTTGGTTTTTTTTTAAACTTTCAATTTAACTTATTTAACAATGGTTCAAATCAATTAAAAAACTAAATTATTATTAACTGAACTTTTAAACTAGTTTTAATACTTACTTTTTTGATCTCATAACAGTTTATAATATTTATTAAACTTAAAATATTTTGCGCCTGATTAATTTTGATTAACTAAGTAATATTGTTATTATTTTTATTTTATATTCAGTTTTTTTTTCATAAACCTTGACTTACATTAATATCACGCAAAATATTTGCGAGTAAGAGGCGATTACGTAGAAAATATAATTTTGATTTTAACAACAAGAACAAGGTTTTATGTCTTTTCCCTTGTCTATTCTATTTAAAAGTATAGCAATAACTTTGTTATAGTACAATTAATTAAAGTTAGCCCCTTTAATAAAACTGATCCAATAAATCAGTAGTGTAATTATACTATAACATAACTTTTCAGAAAATTTACATATTAATCCCGTACTGAAAAATATTGTTAGCGGATTTTCAGTAATTTTCATTTTCCCATATTGCCTGCATTCAAAATTATTTAACTGAACGCCAAAATCTACCAGATCAGATTCTATAAAAAACAATTTTGATTTGATATATCAATCACTTTAACTTTCCAACGCGTTACTAAGTTATACCACAAAAACTCTAAATAATTTTTCCTGTAAAATTTAAGTATTGCGATTACCGACTTTTTGTTCCGGGGAATCGATATATCCTCTATTAAGAATTTAAATACAGATGCTTTGCCTCCCCTGAGGATTAAGATGGAATGCCCCATTTTTAGTAAAAAGGGCCTACGGTTCTCTACACTTACCATCGAAACACAGCCGAATTAAGCTGATATTTAACGCTGGTATTTTGTGAGATCGTAGTTTTACCCCGGGCGAGTTGTGCTATAACTATATATAGCTCTAGCGTGGCTGTGTCACATAAAACTGTGGGAAATTCTAGAAATACAATATCACTTATGGTTACTGATAGATGAAGGTATGTTTCATACCAAATCCGGCGACGGAGAGCAGCTAAAAAGGTGCTGGGATTGGCAGTTTGCTTGCCAAGAGTGGCGATTGAAGCTGATCCTGCTTTCAGGCCTATTTCCAGCAGTAGACTGTAACTGAGTGATAAAACGAATGAAAAATCTTTATAGATGAATCCTAAGCGGTCTTGACTACGTAATTCTCAAACACTAATAACGATTTCTTCTATTTACGCAAATATATAATACATCAATGTATCGCCTTGCCCAAGAAATGACCAATCACTCTCACACTGAATGAATAGTGTTACGTATAGTAGGTGATCACAACCGGAGAACCTTTTTTTAGTAACGAACTACTCCATCTTACTAAGGGTCCACTATTTCTAAAGTAAAAAAATCGAAAATCAAAATTTTCACTATTTACGTTGAAGAAATGAAAATTTCATGTAATATACATTACATTACATTACATTTAGCATAGCATATAACCATTCCAGATATTTATGCATATCAATTTTGCTCAGTCGCCGGGTCTAAATGTAACTGCCAAGTTATTTTTAATGCTATTCTATATATATATAGTTATTTTTATATATATATATATATATATATATATATATATATATATATAGATTCTACGTTTACATTTAAAAACCACATAAACCACCTATGCAAAAGAGTCTGCAAACTAATGTTTTTTTTAATGATTCGTTCTTTTGCTGATATTAAGGTAGTAAAGCAAGAATATTTCGCATTGTCAGTCAATTCTCACTTATTGTACAGCCTCATGTGGATGAGCAGCTAAAACTAAAACTACACTGCTATCACTGCAATGCGCTCAAAGAGCTGTATTAAAAGTCACAATATTCCGCCCAATCCTATTCCCTCCGATCTGTTATACATATCCTATAATGTCCTCTCAGTGCGCCAGTTATTCATTATGAGTACGTTTTTTTATATAGAAGAGGGGGCAAACGAGCATGCGGCTCACCTGATGTTAAGTGATTACCGCCGCCCATGATCAACCGCAACACCAGGGGAATTGCAGGTGCGTTGCCGGCCCTTTAGAAGGAGTAAGCTCTTTTCTTGAAGGTCCCCAGGTCGTATCGGTCCGGAAAAATCGCCGGTGGTAAACTATTCCACAGAAAGGTTGTACGCGGAAGAAAACTCCTTTTGAAACGTACAGTGGTGGACCGCCAAGCATCCAGATGGTGTGGATGGTATCGGGACGTTTGCCGCGTAGTGCGTTCACGAAATTTGGCGGCTGGGATTAATCCGAACAATTCCTCAGAGCACTCTCCATGGTATATGCGAAAGAAAATGCAAAGAGATGCAACATCTCTTTGCAGTGCCAGTGAATCGAGCCGATCGGAAAGCACTCGGTCGTCGACGATTCGAGCCGCTCTGCGCTGGATGCGGTCAAGTGGAAGGAGCTGGTACTGGGGAGCCCCAGCCCAGAGATGGGAACAGTATTCCATGTGCGGCCGAACCTGCGCCTTGTAAAGTTGCAGGCGGTGTGCCGGCATGAAATACTGTCCCGCTCTGCTGAGCACGCCAAGCTTTTTAGAGGCCAATTTGGCCTTCCCTTCCAAGTGACCACGAAACTGCACGTCACTCGATATGTCGACGCCGAGGATTCCAATACTGGCTGAGGCAACAAGGGGGAGTGCCTTGAAACTGAGGGGATACGACAAAGGGGTTCTTTTTAGCGGTTAACGCGCAAACTTGTGTCTTCTGGGGGTTAAACTGGACTAGATTTAGTCGCCCCCAATCCGAGACTATGTTCAGCAAAGACTCGACTTCAGACACAAGTTTATTCCGGCACTCGGAGACGTTTTCCCGAGAAATATTGGCTCGACCGGTGTAAAGAGCATCACCAGTGCTGTCATCTGCATAGCAATGAATGTTACG